CGGCTTCTAACGACAGGCCAACGCTGACTCAGCACCGGGCGGGCTGGGTGGGAAAGAGCCGTGGGACTGTCCTTTCTTGTTTCCACCCCCGTTCTTTTCCTTCCGCCCCAGGCAAAGATCAGGTGGGGTGAAGCTGGGATTTTTAAGATGTTTTGCTGCTGAGTTGGTGCTCTTCCCCAAAAGTTTGACCCTTGGCCCAAACGTTCGGGGGAGTTTGCTCTGACATTGAGAAACTGTAAACCGGTATTTCTCAACCTTGGCAACTGGACTTCGACTCCCAGAATTCCCCAGCCACCCATTTTCCTAGCCTGTTTTGCAATCTTGAGGACTAGAAGCTTGACTTCTTGTTGCTGGCTGGGGAATTCTGGGAGTTGAAGTCCACCTATCTTAAAATTGTCAAGATTGAGAAACATTGCCCTGAACAGTTGCTGATCGTCGGGCAGGGACTAGTCAGTTTCTCTCGAAAGCCGGTGGTTGTTTCTTCTTACCTGTGATGGCGTCCCTGACTTTGCAGAATTTAAATCTTCAGAAAGGAAAAAATATTCGAAGTTAAGGAGAATCCAGACAGGAGAGCAGCAAACCAAACAGTGGAGTTAAAAATAAAATAGTCTTACCAAAGGCAACAACTTGCTGTTGATAAGATTATATCGTTCTCTGTAACGCCACTGTAAAAATGCATTGCCCACCCATTTTCCTTGCCTGCTTTTGCAGTCTTGAGGACTAGAAGCTTGAGTTGTTGTTGTTATAAATTAAGCTTAGCTTTCATACCGAGAAGGGATCCAAACGCTTCTTCATAAAAGCCTTGTAATGTAAAGCAGCCTCATTTCTGGTGTTGCAAACGTTGGCCCTGAGCCTGGGAGAGTCAAAACAAAAACATGTTTTCCCTCCGAGCAAGTTGGGTGCCTCTTGTCCCCGTTGGACGCCCACAACAACCTTGAGAGGTAGGCTGGGCTGAGAATAAGGAGGAAGTGACACTCTGCCCACTCATTTTGCCCCGAGCTTCTTAATCACTGACCCATATTGGGTTAGGACTTGTAGCTTGGAAGTGCAGGTGTTTGGGATGGTGGACGCCGCGCCCAACGCCGGTTGCCAAATTCGGACCAGCCCAAACTTGATAGTGACCACAGTCACAGATACCTTGCCTGGAGGATGGAAAGGAAGGGGGTTGAGATTTGAGAAAGCAAATCTGGATTGATGAATGGCTCTGGAGGTGGGCAGCTATGAGTGTTAGGGTTGGGGGAGCCCTGAAGGTCATCCAGTCCAACCCCCTGCCCGGGGTAAGAATTCGCTCACTGATGGTCCTTCAATCGAATGCAATTTGCAGCTTTTGTTCTCTCCCTCCCTCTTTTTAAAAATTCCCTACAGCCTCCCACGGTAGGATTGGGCAACCTAAATTCAGCTAAAGCAATCTCCAGCAAGCCAGCTCTATTACAGATGCAAGGGAAATTAAATTAAATTATATTTCTTTCTTCCACGAGGTCCTTTGCATGCCCCCTGTGGCTCTGGAAAGCTGGAAAAAATTGCTTCCCACAAACGTGACTTCCCCCTGCCTAAATGCCCTCTCCTCCATTCAAGTATGTTCTTGATTAATGAGATGGGGATGGTATTTAAAATATTTTGCTGAAAGGGTGCACTTAGAAAAGCTAAAGCCTTTTCTTTGACGTAAGGCAGACCTACTGCAACTGATTCTTCCCTCCCCACTTCAAATGTATTTTTTCTCTCGGTATAGTTTAACGCATCCTTGATGGATCAGCAGTTAGTGCTCCATGATTCATCTGACAAGGTTTGCTGTAATTTTGGGCAGTTTAGCTGGTGAATGCAGAGAAGGATGTCACAATCTGTAGGGGGCTGGGGCAAACCCCAGCGTGGGAGAAAAAACCCTCTTTCTTTGTGCTGGGTAAGCCAACACGTGTTTGCTGGTTGAATAAATTTCTGCTCGGCTGCCTTTTGGATTAAATGCGGGTCACGGCCAGTTTCGGTTGACCGAAGCGAGTTAAAGGATTAAAAAATTTTTAAAAACCTGAATTGCTAATTCAGGCTGGGAATGCATAACCTTGAGCACGGTTTAGCACGCCAGATGGGGTTTGGCACGCATGTTTGTGGCACGCATTTTATAGAACGGAGTCTGGGATTCTGGCCAGGGACTAAAATTTGGTCCCTGCCAGCTCTGGGTGGAACTTGGCTTATGTTAAAAGTTGGGGAGCAACCTGATGTGACCTGCTGTATTTTGGAACAAATAACTGGTTCCCAGCTTGATTTCCTGCCCCCATCCCTTCTCTAGTCTCTTCCTGTTGTGTGATGACATTTTAGGTCAACCGATGGGATCTGGAAATACATGTAGGGTTAAATACCAAGATATCTCTGAGCATCTGCAAAGGGAATCTGTAGTGAAATTAAATGCCAGTCCTTGCATAATGCTCTGTTCTAGGGTTTCCATCAATACATTGAAGGGGGGGATTTATTATAGTAGCTACAATTATTGGACCACGAAGAAGTTGCAGTCCTGTCTTACATCTCCCCCATGAATCTTGCCCACCCTATTTTCAGGAAATGGGGCACATGGATCTTATGACGGGTTTTTGGAACCTGCCCCGGGAGATCTAAAGAGGGGCCTCGAAATGTGATTTTTCTGCACCCGGGTAAACCTGGCTTCCTTTTTCTCTTTTCAGGTGTCAAAGAGAGGGTGAGTTATTTAAGCACCCTGAAAGTGAAGGGTTTTGTGATCGGGCCTCTCCACGTTAACCCCAAGGACCAGCCGAACAGCACCGACCTCCAAGCTGTCGACCAGAAACTCGGCACCTTGGAAGACTTCCGAGATGTCTTGCAGGCTGCAAAGAAAAAAAGTAAGTAAAAAAAATATATACATATATATATAAACCCCTTATGGTTTCTAAGGGGGCCTGAATGCTTATAAACACCCCAAATTGGTCGATGTAAAATGAAGGGGCATATTAGAAACCGAACACCTATCTACTTTTTCAAGCCACTTTTCCTTTTTCACTTTTTTTAGCTTTTTCCTTTGTTTTTCTTTGTTTCTTTTTAATATGCATAAACAACAAGAAATAACAATACAGTGGAGACCTGAATATTAAGTATTAAGCTTAAGGCAGAAACCTTTATTATATATCAAAATAATTTCATGCACTGTTTATCAATGCAACACTCAACTCTAGACATACAATTTAAGCAAGCTTAGATTGATTAACATGAACCTTTTAGAAACCATCATTTAATACTGAGTATAAACTTTTCTTTTTCTGATCTTTCAAGTTTTAGTTACCTAAATCATCGTGTGTTAATATAGTGCTTGTCATCTTTTATCTTTAACTTTGATCTTTTATTCGTTTTGTCATTGTTATTGCTGCCCAGAATCATTGACAGTTGGGTGGCATACAAGTTTAGTAAATAATCATCATCATCATCATCATCATCATCATCATCTCCAATTAATACTGTACAAGTACCACTGTATCCAAATGATATAATGTATTACTTATGCCTTACAATACAATAAAACAATATATATTTTTTAAAAAGTAAGCATATTGTGTGGCTTGCATTTCGCATGCAATTGCATGGAAAATAATTCCATCTTTTCCTCTTTGATTTCCTTCCCATTGACAGCATTGATCTGGTTTCACCATCAGCCTGAGATGTTTTGTAGACTCTGATGTAGGACCATAAACAAACCCATTTCAAGGAACTGTAGGGTGTATATATTTGACAAACAATGCCGTGTAAACTTCAATTTAATTTAATTTAATTTAATCACTCTTTAAACAGTGCTTTGTTGATTGACCCATCCTAGTATTAGGATTAGATCTGAATCTGGAACCTCATTTCTGTGTTGGCTGTTTGTGTCCTGCCCCAAAATCTAGTGGGAAAAAAGAGAGAATGGGTTGTACTATAATGAATTTGCTCATTCTGATGCTGATTCTGGCTTGTTCAGCAAAGTGTGGCTAAAATAAAACAGAGTTTAATGCTAGGTGCAAACACAGTTAATGTAGCTCTACCGAGTTTTCTGGAGTGACTGGTTGTGATGTAACAAACCTCTCTTTTCAGGTTTGAAAGTTATCTTGGACCTGACCCCTAACTACCATGGCCAGTTACCATGGTTTAGCCAGGATGCATGGCTCCAAAGCGATTTCCAGAATAAAATGAAAGTAAGTGGAGACCAGAGTATTCACTGAAAGAAAAACCAAATAGAAGAATGTTGGGAAGATCTACGATAAGGACATCTAGTTCTTTTTCTTAAAAAAAAGGGAGGGAATTCATGCTGGCTGGGGAATTCTGGGAGTTGAAGTCCACTCATCTTAAAGTGGCCAAGTTTGGACAACACTGTTTTAGGTGGTCAAACATTCAGGTGGGGGGTTTGGGGTGTGTGGGGGCAAAATTAGGAACCTCAAAGATCATCTAGTCCAGCCCATAGACAGAATGGAAAGATCTTCTCAGTATCTCTGGTAGTGGCCATATAGACTTTGCTTACAAAAATCTCTAGTAAAGGTGAGTTTGAATGTTTAGTTTATTTATTATTAATTTGGTTATAGCCGGCCAACTCTCACGGACTCAGGGCGGCGTACTGAACCAAAAAACCAGTAAAACCATTAAAAACATAAAACCACACAGGCAGCCTGGACTAAAACAATCCTAACTAGCAACTAGAAACCACAACAGGGCCCCCAACGTACATTAGCTGACGTCTCCTTTTTTGTAGTTCAGTGCTATTGGCTTGGGACTCGACTTCTCAAGCTAGAAAAACAAAATTTTGCAGTGTCTCTGCCTCTTTCAAGCTGTGGCACAAGGCTGTTGCCTCGATATATTCCGTTTTTCCAATTAACTGCAATTTTCTTCTGTTTTTATCCTTGCCTTTCCTTCAAGGAATTGTGCAGTTACTCTAACAATCTTGGGAAGTTGGTTAAGCTGGGAATATCTTTGCTGGTAGAGCTTCCTAGTGGAAGAGCTAAATTTCTCCAGCCTAAAAACCAATGTTCTTTCTGCATCCAAACTTAATGGGCAAAGATGCGTGGGGAAGGAAATCCAGCTGTTGCAGCTAGAGTTCAGGGTGCGTTTTGGGGGTGACTGAGGACTACTAACTTATCCGGGTCTGTTCTTATCTTCCACCCTACAGGAAGCAATCACGTTTTGGCTGAGGGAAGGAGTATTCGGAATCCAGATTGGCAGCGTTGAACATCTAAATGTAAGTAGATGGCCCATCCTAGCCCCCTTTCCATCCAGGGCAGGGGGGGGGGTGTCTCCTTTAGCAAAAAGAGGCAGGCTCATTTCAGCTCAGACTTGACCGCTGTTACTTTGAACTTCATTGCCCTCGAGTTCAGTTCCATCAAATCCCTCGGATTACATTTTGCCAACAGACTTGTTTCCCCTTGCGATGACCTGCAATGTCACAGATGGGAAAGAAACTTGCCACGGGTCCCTGTTTTTGGGGAGAGGAGATGCCTCTTGCAAGGAGGAATGGGAGGGTGCTAAAATCCTGGAGGTTCCAGTCTCAACACGCCCAAACTGCTTTATTTCACAGGATCCCCAACTCTTGAGTGAGTGGAAGAACTTAACAGAACAATATAACGTGGACGATCAGACCAGGTGAGTACCTATTCCCCTAATGCATCCCGTAGGGAGAACAGATGTTTTGTTTAGAGAATGATTTCTTCCAAAGAAAAGGAAGATTTACGCTCAAGCATTGCAAACAGCTGACGTTCAGCTCTTGAACCCGATGCAAGTCTGCTATCGCTTTATGTTACTCTTTGCTTCAGCGCGTTTCCCCGTTTTGCTAAGACGGAGGAGAGTTGGAAGCTGCTTGGGGGCTCTGCCAGATCCCGGGCTGCTTTTCCAGCCTCCAACTAGGCTGAAAGTCCACACTTCTTTGCTTTGTTAGTTAGGCAGCAGGATGGAGATTTGGAGAAAACCTAAGCTGTGTGACCCACATCATTTTAATATTCTGAAGCTGATTGTTTATAGCAGTGTTTCTCAACCTTGGGAACTTTAAGACGTGTGGACTTCAACTCCCAGAATTCCCC